AGTGATGATGCCTACCTGTTGTATAGTTGTGTACAGTGATGATGCCTACCTGTTGTATAGTTGTGTACAGTGATGATGCCTACATGTTGTATAGTTTTGTACAGTGATGATGCCTACCTGTTGTATAGTTTTGTACAGTGATGATGCCTACCTGTTGTATAGTTTTCCTACTGCGGGGCGGTAGGTTGAGCTCCATTAACTGTTGCTGCCTTTCCTCCTCTTCAATTCTGCGGATGTCACCTTCCGGAATAATTGCATCCCACATTTTCCCTGAAATATTCAAAACCTTAACATTACTATGCTTTTCATAAAAACATGCTTTCAAAAAATCTTGATGCAACAATGTTTTAGCATAAGTCATTTTTCATTTCAGTTTCTGCAAACATTTACCTGAACTGCAACATGTACATGTCTGGTTTCGTTATTTAAATAATATTGCTTTGTTGTTGGAGAGTAGAAAAAATGACACACCCAAACCAAGTAAAATATACAACATTTGATATTGCGCCCTATCTAGCTAACATAAGCCACTCTAAAGCGCTTTACAATACATACATAAACAATTTAATACAATGAATACAATTAGCATATACTTGGTTCTCTGGCCAATTTTTTTCAAGAGATGAGGCAGGGAGGTATATGTTTTTTCCATTTTACATGGCCAAAATGAGACGAGGGAGTTTTTTTTTATTCCAAACAACCGTGTAGTTTGTAAAACGTTCATTGTGGACATTACCTTGTCAAATGTGTCCGTTTTTTGTCGCCCAACACACACAGATGCTTTAGCAGAATGGAGTTTATCTGGGAACGACCGTTTTTTAAGGTTGTGTAAAGATCTGTCAAGCCTCCGAAAATCCCCCCACGATGTTCCAGGGAGGAATCACGGTCCCCCATTCCTTATTAGTACCAAAATGAGCGCCATTTGTAGACGAGATTAATAAGTCATAATCGTTTGGACGCTTGCCTGTATATCATTATTGAAACGTTTTCGGGACTTGGGTGACTAACGAGTAAAAACGACATGCGGACCAATTTTCAGGATTTTTTTTTAAGACGGCGGCTGGCGCATTCACATTTTCTTTTTTTTATTATTTTCACAATAAAATTGGCAATGCGGTGCCCTAAGATGAAATGCACGCGGGCCTGAGAACCAAGTAATTCAATTTTTGGCCTTAATCAATACAATTTTGAAGAATTTGCAGGAGCTGCCTTATCAGGCGCTAACTCCTAGTCCTATGCCACCTGGCTAATATCTCCCTATGTGTGTATGCCTGCATGTGTGCTGGAGATGTGTTGTAGCACCGAGACTAAACCTAATGGGCCATTTTCAACACACACAGCCACATAAAGAAGCATCTGTACCAAATGTCATCCTATTGTGATTGAACACATCAATATAAACAAACAGCACTAAAAGGCTGTGGTTAGGTGGTTTACAAACATAAGTCACATACCAGGATCATCATTATTACTTTCTCCAATGCGTTCTATTTCTTCTTCCTCCAGGTTGTCGAAGCTGACGACCTTGAACTGTGACAGGAGGTCATCTCCCACGGTCGTTGGTTCAACCTCCCTAGTTTCTGCACGCTGCAGGATCTCGTCAATGTCAACCTTAAAAAAATTAGAACCTTACTGCAGATTCAACTTTGTTTCAGTGAGAGCAAAAATTATCAACAATGTTGTATTAATCTAGATTACCATTCATCCAGATAGACATGACTAGATTTACTTTTTGTTGTGGTGATTACTTAGAAATTTCCAGTAACAAATATCAACTACTTACTTGTGGTTCTTCGTCATCACTGTCACACTCTTTGAACAATTCCTCAGCACCAAATTTGAGAATGGCACTCAATTCCTCCTTTTTGAATGGAGTAGTATTACTGTAGAAAAAAGCATTTCTTGAGCAAGTTTTGTCACTTATGACTTAATAACTGTTCTTTTCTTAGTTTTGAGCTTAGAATCAGTACCTGATTTCTTAGAGTTCAAAATAAAGACAATGCTATTTCTGATAAGCCTTCCTACGGAATTTATTGAAATTGGTTTTGCAGTTTTGGATTGGATGTTGAAAATATTAATTGTTTTTAGATAAACAACACATGACGTATGAAAGGTAACTGCTTCAAGCTCTTTACAATGTTTTCATCTACATTGCCTTTAAAAATGATGCAGTTGCTGTATAAAACCTGCACACAACTGTTACTCAGCATCTTCAGAGTAGACTTTAGCTGGTCACGATTGTGACTGCTAACACTTCCTCTGTGCACCCTTACCTTGAAGGAACATGGCCGCGATCAAGCACCGTCCGACCTGTTGTGTCCATTCGCTGAATGACCAGATGGTCGAGCACCATTTTGCGCTTGGCTCTCTCTACGATGTCTTCCTCTACACTGCCTTTGGTGACCAGTCTGTACACGCTCACCTGTCAACATAACATCTAAATGTAATACAGATATACAAGAGGCTCGGAGCGTCTGCATCACTCTCCCGGATACTAAACTCATTGTAACAAATATAAAACTGTCATTTTCCCCAATTTTGACTGTCTCTCAGCTATACAACTTCTGATTGCCTTGTCCCTGGGATGCCCTTTTGTAAACATGGAATATCACACTTGGGGGCAGTTTACACTATAACGCAGAGCTAAATTGTCCACTAGTTCTTATCTGCATACAATACAACAAGACATTATTGTATCCATTAGTAAAGAGAGGACATACAATCAAAGGCCTCAAAAACAGCCATATAGACATCTATAAGCAGCCCCAAAAACAGCCCTATAAACATCTATAAACAGCCCCAAAATCAGACCTATAGACATCTATAAACAGCCCTATAGACATCTATAAACAGGCCCAAAACAGCCATAAAGACATCTATAAACAGCCCAAAAAACAGTTGTTTATCCGATCAGTCTCTAAAATTGCCCTGCACAGCTAGGACCAAGGGGAACCTACATATAAAATTTGAGAAAGATCCCTCTGGTACTTCTTGAGAAATAGCGATAACAAACTTTCAATATCAAAGTCCAAGATGGCTGCCTGTCGGCCTTGTTGTTTATCCGATCAGTCTCAAAAGTTGCCCTGCACAGCTAAGGACCAAGGGGAACCTACATATAAAATTTGAGAAAGATCCCTCTAGTGCTTCTTGAGAAATAGCGATAACAAACTTTCAATATCAAAATCCATGATGGCTGCATGTCGGCCATATTGTTTATCTGATCTGTCTCAAAAGTTGCCCTGCACAGCGAAGGACCAAGGGGAACCTGCATATAAAATTTGAGAAAGATCCCTCCGGTACTTCTTGAGATATACCGATAACAAGAATTGTTTAAGGATGGATGACGGATGATGGACGGCGGACCACGGACGCAGGGTGATTTGAATAGCCCACCATCAGATGATGGTGGGCTAATAAACAGCCCCAAAACAGCCATATAGACATTTATAAACAGCCCCAAAAAACAGGCATAGAGGCATCCAACCTTTCTCATTTGTATTACTGCTCTTAATATACAATACACCATCATAAAAACCTTGAGTTCCTGTCCATTTCCTTTTAACTAATTTATCAGGTTTTATTACCTATCAGGTTTTATTACCTATCAGGTTTTATTAGCGATCAGGTTTTGATCAGGTTTTGATCAGGTTTTATTACTGATCAGAATGCGCAGTCAAAGAAAAGTGCAGTTTGGTTGTACTCATCCCAGGTTTTTAGGTAATTGACTTGTACATATTTACACTTACATGTCAGGAAGGGCCCCGCTATGTATCCGACCTTAATAGTGAGATTGCAGTGACTGTTACATCGACATTAAATTGTTACTTATATACTCCTAAACAACTTTGCTCCTCTCATGATGACTTGACCCAAAACTTCAATATTTGGACAATGTTGATACGTTATTGTCATTCTTTGGCAAGGCGAGCTAAAAAGTCTACATAAATTTAACTTCAAGACTGATTCCAAACAAATATTATGAAGCATACAAATAAACAGCAACTCAAAGCTCTATTTTTAAACAAATTCAGAGGGTTTGCTGAAGCAATACATCCGAACTGTGAATAAAAATGATTAAAAAAGTGTGTTTTTTTTTTTAATAATTTGGAAGTTTCTTCACTGGAAAAATTTAGTCAATACTATATCTATCTGCAAATAAGCCCTCTGGAACGTTGTGTCAGGTCATCATATAAAATTTGAGCCTTAATCTTTTTCTCCCATTTTTTGTTTCATAATGTCATAACAAAATGTTTAGCAGTTAAGAGATGTAAAATTTGACCTTGACCTTTGATTCATTGACCTTGAGGTTTGGTCAGTTGACATCTTGTTTGAATCTGAACAGCTTTGTTTCATAACGTCATCACAAAATGTTTAGTGGCCAAGAGATGTAAAATTTGACAATAATTAACTGTAATGCCAAGATGGGTGATTATGGTCATTTTGAATCCAATTGGCCCGAAAATGAAGGAAGTAGAACTAGGATCCAAGGGTAAGTTTTAAAAAGATACCCCAATTACTACCATCCACATTGTACAAAAGCATAAACAGCCAATGCGGGGCCCTAATTAGGTTTTCAAGAGACACTGCTAGTTTTCTAGTCCATGTTTACCTGGTTCTTTTGGCCAATTCTATGGGCTCTGGCTTGAGCCTGTAGATCGTTCTGTGGATTCCAGTCACTGTCAAATATAATGACTGTGTCGGCCGTCGCCAGGTTTATACCCAGGCCCCCTGCTCTTGTGGACAACAGAAAACAAAAGTCCTGAAAAATAATTTATTTTCTTTTACGGCACAATTAAATTAGGTTGATAAAAAGTTAAGTTTTCACAAGTGTGGTTTATGGCAAGGTAACACATATTTAGGATAAAGAACTCTCGGTTTAAAATAAACAAGAGTACCACAGAGGCAGAAAGTACACACCTGTCCCTACCAAACAGAAATACAAAACATCCTTCTGATGCATTCTTGTATCAAAATGTTGAAAAAATGCAACAAGAAGAAACTAAATTTGTACCACATTACTCAGTTAAGTTAAGAATTCTGGAATGGGGTGGAAGGAGAAAACATCTTTACTTTACTCACGTAACATTAAAACCAAACATCTTTACTTTACCCACTTAACATTAAAACCAAACATCTTTCTGAGTGCTTAATTACTAGCAGATATTTCACTGATAGTTTTTATATTGATAAAAGTGTCATTGAAATCGAGTCACATTTTGTTCAGTTATTGTACAGAAATATCCAACCCATCAGGGCACAGTATTCTAACTTATAATGCACAGATTTTGCTTGACTTCAATCTCGGTATTGACTTTCCATAACATAAATATTAATCTATATTGTACATGCTGACCAGGGTTCGTCAAAATCAAATGATACTTAAACAAGTTATCTTGCGAAAACTTCAGACAACCAGACCAGCATTCTCCATAACTATTGGGGTCCCATCAAACTTTTTTATAACATGAAATAATATTTAAGTTATTCACAAGATGGAAAATTATTATGTTTTTTAAAGCAATCCGATAAAATAATTTTCCCAAACATTTAATTAAGGAAATGTTAAAATCAACCATGCAGATTTAATACAGTTACACATACCGGCGATCCCTCCGCATTGAAATGATCTAAAGCTGCCTTTCGTAGATCTCCTCGTATAGAGCCATCCAGCCTCTGTTGGAGAAAGAAATTTTCATAATTCAACAATCAGCTAAGATGCCAATCACCAATCTTCTCATTTGAATACCGACAAAAAAAGGCGAGTCAGGGTCTGAAGTCTTCAGTTCAATTCCCTATGCAAACTACAGTAAATTTTACCCCTCCCTAAATAGGAATAGATGACCCAGGGGCAGTACCCCAGCCTCATATTATGTACCTACTAGCAAGTCTACCCGAGTTTTAGCAGGCAGACCATCAGAAATTGTTGACTTTAAATCCAATTGATTTTTTTTTTGATAATGAAAGATGCTCAGAGATGAATGACCCCTTCCTTCATGTCCAGTAAAGCCAAACATCGAAACAGTAGAACTCGACACAGTTCAGTACAGGTAACTCGACACATTTCAGTACAGGTAGTTCTACACATTTCAGTACAGGTAACTCGACACGTTTCAGTACAGGTAATTCTACCCATTTCAGTACAGGTAACTCAACACATTTCAGTACAGGTACCTCGACACATTTCAGTACAGATAACTCGACGCATTTCAGTACAGGTAACTCGACACGTTTCAGTACAGGTAATTCTACAATTCTACACATTTCAGTACAGCTAACTCGACACATTTCAGTACCGGTAACTAGACACATTTCAGTACAGGTAGTTATACACATTTCAGTACAGGTAACTTGACACATTTCAGTACAGGTAACTCGACAAATTTGAGTACAGGTAATTCTACACATTTCAGTACAGGTAACTCGACACATTTCAGTATAGGTAGTTCTACACATTTCAGTACAGGTAATTCTACACATTTCAGTACAGGTAATTCTACACATTTCAGTACAGGTTACTCGACACATTTCAGTACAGGTAATTCTACAATTCTACACATTTCAGTACAGATAATTTTGGAACTTTCAGTACCTAAACAGCGAGGTGAAACATTAGTATTAGTACCAAAAGCATTGAGGTGTAGAGAAACTTGAGTGACCTAAAGATATAACAGAGTTTTTAAGACAGTATATATTATTCAGATTCCACTGTCCCTGTTTAAACAATCCACTGTATGTCAAAATACCAGCGAGGATATTTTCTTTGAGATTTATAACAGCATGTTTCTGACAGAACTCCCTCCCAAGTATACATGTACTGACAGAACTCCCTCCCAAGTATACATGTACTGACAGAACTCCCTCCCCAGTATACGGTGTACATGTGCTGACAGAACTCCCTCCCCAGTATACGGTGTACATGTGCTGACAGAACTCCCTCCCCAGTACAAGGTGTACATGTGCTGACAGAACTCCCTCCCCAGTATACGGTGTACATGTGCTGACAGAACTCCCTCCCCAGTATAAGGTGTACATGTGCTGACAGAACTCCCTCCCCAGTATAAGGTGTACATGTGCTGACAGAACTCCCTCCCCAGTATAAGGTGTACATGTGCTGACAGAACTCCCTCCCCAGTATAAGGTGTACATGTGCTGACAGAACTCCCTCCCCAGTATAAGGTGTACATGTGCTGACAGAACTCCCTCCCCAGTATAAGGTGTACATGTGCTGACAGAACTCCCTCCCCAGTATAAGGTGTACATGTGCTGACAGAACTCCCTCCCCAGTATAAGGTGTACATGTGCTGACAGAACTCCCTCCCCAGTATAAGGTGTACATGTGCTGACAGAACTCCCTCCCCAGTATACGGTGTACATGTGCTGACAGAACTCCCCCAGTATAAGGTGTACATGTGCTACAATTTAATACACTACCTCGGACAGCACATATTTTCCAGTTTACCTTTAGATTTTGGATCACACTTCCACAGAAGTTATAGATTTTCATTTTACTGTAGATTTGGGGATTACAACTTTTTTTCAAAAAACGGGTGACTTCAGGAACACCAAGACAGATATTACATAATTTTCTTGTCATTTTTTGGGGTGTTTTATAAAGATTAGGCCTGATGCTCTGAAAGGAGATATTTAGTGTTTCCTTATACATCTGAACAAACTTTTCTCTTTGTGCTATACTCATTTGATGTTGATGGGCTATTCACGATTTTATCGATTAGCCTCCAAATGTTGCCTGGACGTGTAACAAACCTACCTGATGATTGAAATGTCTGGCAGTGAGATATTCCGCTATAAGATCCAGCATGCGTACCATCTGTGAGAATATTAGCACTCGGTGTCCCGTTTCCTTTAACCGACACAATAGTTTGTCTAATAACAACAACTTGCCACTGCCTTTCAACAGGGCCTGAAACTTTTCCATGGAAGTCTCGTCCTCGGGCATACGGATCAGCTGTGTATGGTTACAACACTTTTTAAGTTCCATTATGATGTTCACAAAACTCCCAATGTTACCCTTCAAACCTTTCGACAATGCTTTGTAGTTTTTTGTGAGAATCCATCTGAAAAAAAATCAAAATTTCAAAATGATAGACCAATTTGGTATTTTCTGAACTAATCTATAATTACGTATCACAGTATTCTACAATATTGCTTTGACATAAAAAATTAAAAACTTTATATATATCGAGAGATTACACTGTTGAAAAATTCACCAATTAAGTGCAGGAAAGAAAAAGACCAATTTTCTAGACCACCCTGAATACTCCTCAAATTTACTCAAGAACTAAAATATGTCTGTAAGACATGAATGCCCCCGTCACCATGTGAACCGAGTGTCACTGTTTGATGTTTGAGGGGACTCGACGGACACGGGCAACAATATATGGCCCTCTATTTTACTTATAGTACTGATTTGTCTACTCACTTATAGTACTGATTTGTCTACTTACTTATAGTACTGATTTGTCTACTTATAGTACTGATTTGTCTACTTACTTATAGTACTGATTTGTCTACTCACTTATAGTACTGATTTTTCTACTTACTTATAGTACTGATTTGTCTACTTACTTATAGTACTGCTTTTGTAGTGATGTCATCTCCACACGCAATATTTGTTCTGTCTGAAAAACAATAACTCTTTTCAATATCTGCATTCATGAATAGGCCTATATAGATTTGTTTTGAATTTTTGGTAGGCAAGTTTTTTTCTACTTAACGTAGTTACTACCAATTCAAACTTGGTTCAATATGACTATACAGAAATAATTTTGGTTCAATACGACTAATCAGAACTAATTTTGGTTCAATACGACTTATCAGAAATAATTTTGGCTCAATACGACTAATCAGAAATAAGTTTGGTTCAATACGACTAATCAGAAATAAGTTTGGTTCTATACGACTAATCAGAAATAAGTTTGGTTCAATACAACTAATCAGAATTAAGTTTGGTTCAATACGAATTATCAGAAATAAGTTTGGTTCAATACGACTAATCAGAAATAAGTTTCAAAACTTCTGAGAGCCAGCCTTCTACATTTTGTTATATTTTTTTTAGATAATTATGTATATCTAACTCCTATTTTCAATTTGGTTTAGACTGACAATAGTTTCAACATTCATTAAATTTTGGTCTGATATAATAGACTGGCAAACATAAATTACGAGTCCCTACTTTTGCTGGTAGTGACTTTTCAACATCCTTCTTCATTCGGCGAAGCAAGTATGGTTCAAGTACTTTGTGTAGGTTGGTAAATCCAGTTTTGTTCTCTGAAGAATGCATGCCCTCAAAGTCAAGCCAAGAATCAAACCTGTAATGTTACAACAGAGTTCTCAAACAAGTTCCTGTAATATCTGACTTGCTGGAAACTTGCAGGAAAATTGGACAGAACAGTGCGAGATAATTTCTATCATACATTCAAAGAAGGCAACAGGTTACACATTGTTATATGTAGACTAGCTCAAGGAAAACACCTCAGAATTTGTCAACATAAATTTGTGACAATTGGTGGTTTAACAAGTTGCATGTAGAACAGGAGGCACAGGTGGCTTGACAGTCACCAGAGTTGTATTACCATGACTGTTATTTGTTGTTTTGAGATGACTTAAAAAACAGTACACATAAACCAACATTTTAACAGTGGATTGGCCAACACATTAAAATTTTATTTACCCCAATATATCAATTATAAAAAGAAGTCGGAAATGTGATCTTGTTATAGATGGACAAAGGCATGGCGATGGACAAAATACCTGCTATAGGTTAACCTTGACACTGTCAATGTGTTGGGTCTTTCATTGTGTACGCTCGAAACCTCAATTCATTATGGAAGTTTAATTTGAAAATAAATATTATGCAAAAATGGGTGACCTACTGAAGAAATGCATAAAAGAAGTTACTTGAATTTATTGAAATAACTCTCTTCTAGAAATCATTACATTCTTTAGAAATTGTAAGGACACAACTTACTTGTCTGGCATGATGAAGTGCAAAAGGGCCCAGAGCTCCTTCAGGGAGTTCTGAAGTGGTGTGCCTGTGATCAGGAGGCGATGGTTGGAGTGGAATTCGAACAAAGACTTGTATAGGAGGGAGTCGTCGTTTTTAAGGCGATGAGCCTCATCCACCCCCAGGAACGCCCATTGCACACCCCCAAGGAATGACTGGGAAAACAGAGTCACTTATGGATAGTCTACACATGATCAAATATACTCATCCAAGACAATAAACGCTTCATTAATCATCCAAGTTATACACGTCTTTTAGAGTAAGCGTTTCCTCCCCAAACAATTAAGTAAAGCCCATCTCTGTGTTTCTCCTTGTCTTTTTATTCAGGTTTTGTTTTTCATTTTCAGCTTTCCCCAAAAAACAAGTGAAACAACATGTTGTTATTTGATCAAGCTTTCGTCGACTCCGACAAATTAGGATACAAATATCTGTTTAACACAACAAATTTCAAAGTGTAACAGTGAAATGTCACGGGTCAATTGCCAAGTAGACTGTGATCTTTGAAAAACTTTCAAGTGATAATATATCACGATGCTAACATTGGAGAAATATAACATGACTTGTTTTCATTACACAATATTCCAAAACCTTCATGGAATTCAGAACAGAATTATCTTTTTCCCCCTGATTAAACCATAGCCCAGTTCAAGCACAAATGCCAAATGAAAGCAGCTCAATGTTTTTCGCGATTAAAGACTTACAAAAAGACACAGCACAAAATAAATGCATATTAAAAACAAGAAATTAAAATTCTGAAATGCAAATTTTGTGTTAAAACTTACCTTGTCTTTCAATAAAATTTCATATGTAGTTATCAGCACATTGAACTTTAACCTTTTGTTTCCAGGATGACACCATTCAAACTCTCTAATCTGTAATGAACAAGCACTTCTCAAATGACTTTCAATCGAAGTTACATCAATTATTTTCATGAAAATTGTCATCACTGTATGCTTCTCCAAATTTGTTTTATTCGAGCCCAACTACATACTATCTAACAAATTAAATGGTTGACTTTTTTGGCAGTTAAAGCAGTAAAACAGTAATTCAGAATGGACAATTAATTATAAAACCGTTTTTAATCTTAGGTCTGTTATATATTTTTATACACATTAGGAAACAGAAAGGACTATGTATGGTTTGGGGGTGTTTTGGCCCCCAAATTAATCAAAATTCAAAACCTTTAAATGATCTTTCAAATGACTGTTTCTTTAATTTTGAATACTTTCCAAATAATATCATGAAACTATTTATATTTCTAATTATTGTTGCCATGGTAACAAGTTCAAATTTGCATAAATTAGAAAAATTTGAATATTCAGTGAATACTGTCATATTTCCCCCCAGAAACTATAGAGCGCATGTTTGAACAAATATCAAAGGATAATGCATATGCACCTGTAATACATCTTTAGGAGAAATATAAAGTTTGTTCAAGAGTACGCTTTGTTTGCTAAGAGAAAATCTAGGTGAAAACATGTCAAAATTGACTGAATATTCAAATTTCATAAATTTATGCAAATATTAACTGGTTACCATGGCAGCCATAATTGAAAACACAAATAAATGTTTACTTGATAGTACCAAAATTAAAGGAACAGTAATTTGAAAGTTGTTCTACTGAAGATTTTTAATTTTGATGGATTTGGGGGCCAAAAATGGCCCAAACTATATATAGTCCTTTAAGCAGAATGGTTGAAATGACCATTCACATCTGACATGAAATAAATACAATCACTTTGAAAACTTTCTGATTATGCTTACCTTGTTTCTACTTATGATGTCACCCATATATATCACAACATTCATTTCGGGTGCCCAGATTTCAAACTCGCGTTGCCAGGCGACGACAGTCGAGAGTGGCACAACAATGAGGTAGGGTCCATGAAGTTGGTAGCAGTTGTGGAGGATGGAGATGAAGGAAATGGTCTGTATAGTCTTACCAAGCCCCATCTCATCAGCCAGGATCACACTGTTCTCCCTATAACATCACAACGATTTAGGTTACACGCTGCAACATACCGTGTCTGACATCTTCAGCATGTAGCATAAGTAAATAAGCATAATAATATTTATTCAGGTAAAAGGCAAATAATAAACGTATATCACAATTTGCAGATTGGACATAAATATATATATGATCACTTAATGAGATGTTATTTATAAGTTATTTATCTCATAAAACTAGTAATCAGTTAGGTGTTAAAACTGGATTGGATTAGATTAATGTAGGCCTTTACCTGGGATGACCCATAAAGCCACATTGTGGCTTACTTCCAATGGGGTCCCTTGGATCTAAATAAATCAATTCAATTCATAAAATTTAGAACCAATGTCCTTAAATAACATGCCTTGATTTTGTTCTATATTCTCATTTAGGCAGAGATATGAAGGTTTCTTCTATATCCCACATTCAAGTTGAATTCCCCATGATTAAAATGGTCTATCATTCTGATACATTGCATTGGTCTCTGTATCAGCTGATATGGTGAGACAAGGTTGCATGGCAGCTTGGACTTTGTCCACACTGATCAATTGACTTTTTAAGGGCTGGAAGTTCATGAATAGACACAGCATTTAAATTATATTTCTAAAATCCCTGGGCTCTGTTACAAGAGCAGGTCTCCATATCATGTCAACTACATATATACGTACATGTATATCTTTGATTGTATTAAGAATTGTTTCCTTTCATAACTTTTTAAATTAGCATTTTGATTTAACAATTAAATCATAATTTAATTCAGACTTACCCAAAATGCCAAAACAGGATAATTTTGATTTCCCTTTTGCATTTTTTTTGGTTCCAATATAGATCGATTCAACACAAAAACAGATACAGGTAAACATTTTATCATTTAAGATTAGGCTTGAGGATCCCTGTCCCACTACACAGTGGTTTTACTATATACAGTTACCTCCTCTTAAATTCCTGAAGGATCCCTGTCTCACTACACTGTGGTTTAACCTATATAAAGTAACCTCCCCTTATGGATCCCTGTCCCACTACACAGTGGATTTACCTATAAACAGTAACCTCCCCTTAAGGATCCCTGTCCCACTACTCTGTGGTTTTACCTTACCTCCAGTAACAGTACAGTAACCTCCCGATAGTATAACGAAGTCCAGGGCTCGTATCCCTGTATAGCACCAACAATAATTTGTACACTCAGAACACTGTTGTTGATTATACTTGGTTTATTTTATCTCCTTAAAGTCCCATAAAGTAGCGTGTTTATTGTATCTCCTTTAAGTCCCATAAAGTAGGGTGTCTATTGTATCTCCTTTAAGTCCCATAAAGTAGGGTGTCTATTTTATCTCCTTTAAGTCCTATAAAGTATGGTGTTAATTTTATCTCCTTTAAGTCCCATAAAGTATGGTGTTTATTTTATCTCCTTTAAGTCCCATAAAGTAGGGTGTTAATTTTATCTCCTTCAAGTCCCATAAAGTAGGGGGTTTATTTTATCTCCTTAAAGTCCCATAAAGTAGCTTATTTATTTTATCTCCTTAAAGTCCCATAAAGTAGGGTGTTTATTTTATTTCCTGAAAGTCCCATAAAGTATGGTGTTTATTTTATCTCCTTAAAGTCCCATAAAGTAGCGTATTTATTTTATCTCCTTAAAGTCCCATAAAGTAGCGTGTTTATTTTATCTCCTTAAAGTCCCATAAAGTATTGTGTTAATTTTATCTCCTTAAAGTCCCATAAAGTATGGTGTTTATTTTATCTCCTCAACCCTTTCACCCCTATGTAACTTTAGTAGACTCTACCATGCATTGATCTAGATGAGTCCATTTTGGTCTACAGTGGTGAAGGAAAGGGTCAAGTCCCATAAACTATGGTTTCCTTTTTAGAAATGGTTTATCAAAGCTGTATTTGTTGAGGACAAACGAGTGTTCCATTCTTTGACACCGTTTATGGCAGTGGTATGGGACTCCTTGATAGGAATCCTACACATTATTCTTTGACACCGTTTATGGCAGTGGTATGGGACTCCTTGATAGGAATCCTACACATTATTCTTTGACACCGTTTATGGCAGTGGTATGGGACTCCTTGATAGGAATCCTACACATTATTCTTTGACACCGTTTATGGCAGTGGTATGGGACTCCTTGATAGGAATCCTACACATTATTCTTTGACACCGTTTATGGCAGTGGTATGGGACTCCTTGATAGGAATCCTACACATTATTCTTTGACACCGTTTATGGCAGTGGTATGGGACTCCTTGATAGGAATCCTACACATTATTCTTTGACACCGTTTATGGCAGTGGTATGGGACTCCTTGATAGGAATCCTACACATTATTCTTTGACACCGTTTATGGCAGTGGTATGGGACTCCTTGATAGGAATCCTACACATTATTCTTTGACACCGTTTATGGCAGTGGTATGGGACTCCTTGATAGGAATCCTACACATTATTCTTTGACACCGTTTATGGCAGTGGTATGGGACTCCTTGATAGGAATCCTACACATTATTCTTTGACACCGTTTATGGCAGTGGTATGGGACTCCTTGATAGGAATCCTACACATTATTCTTACTTACTTGCACCATGCATGCATGAGCCAGTTAACTCCGTCCAGTTGGTAGTCTCTCAGCTCCAGGGACTCGACACCTCCAAGAAATTTTGGTTGGGTCTTTTGAGGTGCGAACTTGGGACGGGACTTCAAAACCTAGTCAACACAGATAAGGTAACAAATTAAGTGAATGCCTTCATATTACACTTGAGAATATATGTTTTCAAATATCTGGTCTGTTCTGCTTAATCACTTAATTCAACTGGGGGTTTTTCTGCACAATTTCCTTGGTTTTTTTTATTGACTTATTTATGAAAAGGTGGCAAATTTGCCAGTACCACTTACCTTTGAAAGCTTTGTGGGAATTTTTTGTGATTTGTTACGAGCTTGGTACTCATCGACAACTGGCTGAAATTTGCGGGAGACGAGTTCACCTTCCTCCCAAGTACACTCGGAGTAGGGCAGACCCATCCATTTGCAAAGGTAGTCAGGGTAGCCGTTATTCTCGTTAGCCATCTTCTGGTTGGAATGGGCTGCTCATGTAAAAATATATACACATTAAGTTATAAACATGAAATTTTTCAAACCTGAAACAATAGGTTTCTGTATTCTAATTTTGCGCAACACAAGGATGTAAAAAAAATGTTCAAAGAACTTGTTCCGGGCAAGTTAACTTTACAAATCATTTGCCCGAACATAATTTCTACTTGCCCCATGAAATGCATTTTTTACAGACAAAAAGACAAATATATTCTAGGTCATGTCATTGTATTTTATTGTTAATAAACAGGCTAAAAGGATGTCCTTTATTTGTTAACTAGCACATACAAAAGTCCCTCACAAAGTTCCCTAAAATAGCAGCCAGCTCAGTAAATTATTTATTCACCTTCGGTTGGAGGATACAGACCAAACAGATGCAAAAAACATGTGTAAGAAACCAGTCTATTGCACTTGTCCGAGCTCTAAAACTGGCTGTCCTCGGCATCTGGCAAGTGGAGTTTTACACCCATGCAACAGCATTTATAGTAAAATGCAACTCTCAACAAGGACAGAGCAAAACCTTTACAGGGTTTAACTTTGACATATTTTTAAGGGCTTACATATATAACAAGAGGCCTAAGGGCCTTAGCGGTCACCTGAGTAATATCATAGGTACTGGTGGCTTTATTTTATTGTTTACATGCTGATTTCCACAACACATCTAAACTAAGTGAAATACAATACTTGTCATGTCATCAAAGGATAAGAATTTTAAAATATTGGTAAATGTTCCCTTTGGGGTCCTGGCCTAGCCCTTGGGGATGGGGCAGGAATTCCAATTTTACAAAATAATACCCTCATCCACCAAAGATGATTCTGACCAAGTTTGAATAATTTTCTGCTGAAAATTGTCAAAATATATCCCAAAGTGCTATTTCCCTATATAAACTATAGTAAACTTTACCCCCTCCCCAAGGGGGAACGGATCGCTTTGGGGTCCTGAAATTTACAATTTAAATAAAGCCCCTGATGATCTTTCCATCCATGCAGAGAAATTTACTGTAGTACCTCAGAGTCTGAAGAAGAAGATTTTTGAAATATTGGTTAATTTCCTTTTGGGGCCGGCCCCACCCTGGCCTCAGGGGTTAGAGTAGGAATCCCAATTTATAATTTTGTACCAAGGATGATTCTGACCAAGTTTGAAAGTTCTTGAGAAAAAGTTGAAAATGTAAAAAGTTTTCCCACGACGACGGACGGAAAGTAATCGGAATAGGTCACTTGACCTAAAAACCTCCCATGAACGAGTAGGCCTCTATCATTCACATGTTCATTCTAAATCAAGCATATCTGTACAAATCCTTGTTGGGAAATTCTATTACCTTGTACACTACCTACACCTTAGGTTTTATTTGAGATATTTTCACTTATTTTCATTATTTTGCCTTAAAAGCAACATTCTTATCCCACACTTCCTTACACTTTAAACCATTAACTACATGCCAAACATCTGTAGGTCTCATTTAGCCGAAGTTGTTTAACAGTTTTCAAATGTAAAGTGACCTTGAAAGTGTGTCCTAGTCAGTAACAAACTTAACAGCCCTGATCACAGCCTAGTGGTCAAATATCATCACTCAAGACCTCCTGCTTATCTGAGAAAAGTCAACCCGGCCGGCTGATATAGAAGAAATAGGAATAATAATATGAAACGAAGCAAAAGGAATAAGTTGCCTAATTACCTATGACACGTTCACAGTTACGGTACTGATAGTACAGGTCTTCCATCATCTCCTGCTGAATATCATAGTAGTCTCGATCCTCAGGCGTGGCATGTTCCTTCCTGCAACAACCAATCACACCAGGACTGAGTGACGCTTATTTACCTATAATTCTTTAAATACTTATACACTGTAGTTGGAAATATTCAAGGGGATTTAATTTTGCTATTTCAGGGGTCACCAAAAATAGTGCAAAATTAAATATCTAGCCAATATTAATAGCATGAATTATATTCCCATGAATTTTAAATCCCATCACTTTAATGTAAAAGTATCCTCATGAGCAGGATCAATTTTTCTAGCCATGTTGTGCAAAATATTAGCCCCATCAAATTAAACAATTATATAGAATGAAGTTTGAAAAAAAACAAGAGGCCCAATGGGCCTGCATCGCTCACCTGGTTTTAAACTCACACTTGTAACCTTAAAAGTGATCTAAAATAAAGCTACAGGCAAAATATCAGTTTTTGTGATTAAAATTCGTTCAAAAGACCCGGTTATTTTTTTTTAAAACATTTAACCCCTGCGATTGAAAGTCGAACAAAGTCATTATGTTGAACACATTGTATAGCCTTTCATCTCAGGATGCAACTTGCAAAGTATAAACATCCTGGGACCCATGGTTATTCATAAGAGGTTGTTTAAAGATTTTAAACAAATTTGACCCCTGTGACCTTGAATATAAGTCAAAGTCATTCACTTTAACAAACATAGTAGTCCTTGATCCCAGCATATGCTACTAACTAAATATCAACATCCTGAGCCTTTTGGTTATTCAGAACAAGTTGTTGAAATATTTTAAACATATTTGCTCCTTGTGACCTTGAATATGATTCAAGGTCATACATTTAAACAAACTTGGTAGCCCTTGATC